ATGAAAAAAAAGTAGAAGAAAAAGAAGAAGACGAAGAGGAAGAAGAAGAAAAGGAGGAGGAGAAATAAGAAAGAAGAAGAAAAAGGAAGAAATAAGAAATATGAAGAATAAAGTAGAAGAAAAAGAAGAAGACGAAGAGGAAGAAGAAGAAAAGGAGGAGGAGAAATAAGAAAGAAGAAGAAAAAGGAAGAAATAAGAAATATGAAGAAAAAGTATAAGAAGAAGAAGAAGAAGAAGAAGAAGAAGAAGAAGAAGAAGAAGAAGAAGAAGAAAAAAAAAAAATAAGAAACAGAAGGAGGAGGGGGGTGGAGGAGGAGGAGGAGGAGGAGGAGGAGGAGGAGGAGGAGGAGGAGGAGGAGGAGGAGGAGGAAAGGGAGAAATAAGAAAGAAGAAGAAAAAGGAAGAAATAAGAAATATGAAGAAAAAAGTAGAAGAAAAAGAAGTAGAAGAGGAAGAAGAAGAAGTAGGAGGAGATGGAGGAAGAGGAGGTGGAGGTGGGTGGAGAAGGAGGAGGAGGAGGAGGAGAAGGAGGAGGAGGAGGAAAGGGAGAAATAAGAAAGAAGAAGAAAAAGGAAGAAATAAGAAATATGAAGAAAAAGTATAAGAAGAAGAAGAAGAGGAAGAAGAAGAGGAGGAGGAGGAGGAGGAGGAAAAATAAGAAAGAAGAAGAAGAAAAAGGAAGAAATAAGAAATATGAAGAAAAAAGAAGAAGAGGAAGAAGAAGGAGGAAGAGTAGGAGGAGAAATAAGAAAGAAGAAGAAAAAGGAAGAAATAAGAAATATGAAGAAAAAGTATAAGAAGAAGAAGAAGAGGAAGAAGAAGAAGACGAGGAGGAGGAGGAGGAGGAGAGGAGGAGGAGGAGGAGGAGGAGGAGGAGGAGGAGGAGGAGGAGGAGGAGGAGGAGGAGGAGGAGAAATAAGAAAGAAGAAGAAAAAGGAAGAAATAAGAAATATGAAGAAAAAAGTAGAAGAAGAAGAAGAAGAAGAAGGAGGAGGAGGAGGAGGAGGAGGAGGAGGAGCAGGAGAAGAAGAAAGAAGAAGAAAGAAGAAGACAAATAAGAAATATGAAGAAAAAAGAAGAAGAAGAAGAAGAAGAAGAAGAAGAAGAAGAAGAAGAAGAAGAAGAAGCAGGAGGAGGAGGAGGGGGTGGTGGAGGGGGTGGTGGAGGAGAAATAAGAAAGAAGAAGAAGAAAAAGGAAGAAATAAGAAATATGAAGAAATAAGTAGAAGAAGAAATAAGAAGAAGAAAGAAAGAAGAAGAAAGAGGAGGAGAAGAAGAAGGAGGAGGAGGAGGAGGATAAGAAGAAAGAGAAGAACGAAAGAAGAAGAAGAACAAGAAGAGGAAGAAAGAAAGAAAGAAAGAAAGAAAGAAAGAAAGAAAGAAAGAGAAGAAATAAAGTAAGAAAAAGAAGAGAAGAAGAAGAAACACGATGTTAAGGAAATATGAAATGTTGCTGAAAACAGTATTGAAACAAATTAACCTCCTTACAATAAATAGAATCAAACACGTGGTGTGTTGGGACCTAATGTATCCTGTAGACTATGCGACACATGGAATCATAGAATGCAGAGTATATACAGTACATCAGTTCTAGCGATACATGCTTTCAGTTGTCGTAACTTATCTATTTAACGATTTTAACGCCCTCAATTACGACCTTTCAGTGGTGGTTTATAAAATGCAATACTTACCAATTTGTGATCAATTCTTTTCCAAAATTCGTGAGATGAATTTGAGGAAACGTGCGCGCAAAGAATTCACAAACTAGTGATGGACTTCACGACGCAAACACAACTTGGAGATTTATTGCGTCACGATTGGATGACGTAATGAATATAAAGGGACGTTACTCTCAATAGAAATTATGTTTATATGTTCAAAAATCGGTAAATCTGACGATTCCTACCCGTGGCATTTTGTATTTCTCATGGAAATGAGAATCGGACCGGTCTGTGCTGACGTAGCACCAACCACTACAAGGAAATCCAACCTAAACATTCTATCATGATTAACATTTATTTGAAAATAGATCGATGATATATTTCTGAACAATTATCTTTGTATGCAAGCGAAGTACGAACGCGTTGATAAAATCATTATTTTGTTTCCATATAAAATAATCCCGACAATACAAATCAAATAAAGTGCCACACAAAAATTACTTTAAGTTTTTAATCGAAATTGTTTGGTTTTTCATGTTTCATCTACACTTACTGTAGAACTATATTGTAACCATTTCCGCCAAAATTTAATCATGCTGTGTGGCATGACTGTGTAATTTTGATGTATGTGTGATCATCACCATCTTCAACGATCCACCTTCACAAAGTTACTCATGGTGGGTTATAAGTCTTATCGTAGTTGGAGACGCTGAATCACTACCGGACACTTCTCAGTACGTCTAAATAGGCTGTTTCCTTCAAATAAAAATTCTTGGTTGCCCACTTAAGGGAAATACGTGCAATTAACCGATTTTTATTTATTTTGTAGCGCCATACAGCTAACATCACTGTTTTATGTATCAAAGTAAACAACATCCCCGATACGACAAGAATTACGATGACTTTCGCTCTTTGCGCCACTGAAATATGTCATGGCCAAATTGAAGTGAAATAATGTTATTGGTTCCAGGAGAAGAAACCCAGCCTGGCCAACCACATGCTGATAAGCTCTTTTTTAAGATTACAAAGAAGCGACACGTAACTTCAAAGCCATTACAGTATACCTTTATGCGACCTCGAATTTCCAAACAAGTGTTTTTGTCTTATCAATAAGGAGTCTCACACAGAATCTTCAAATTTGCTATTACATGTTCCGTGAGTGTAGAGAGCGAAAATGATTTTAAAACCAGTGGAGTATCGAGGATGTGTAATCAAAAGAAAACTAAATGAGCATTCATGTTAAAGTTTCATTATTTACGTGGTGTAAACAATACAGTATGTGTGTGTAAACAATACAGTACGTGGTGTAAACAATACGGTACGTGTGCGTAAACAATACAGTACGTGTGTAAACAATACAGTACGTGTGTGTAAACAATACAGTACATGTGTTAACAATACAGTACGTGTGTAAACAATACAGTACGTGCGTGTAAACAATACCGTACGTGTGTAAACAATACAGTACGTGCGTGTAAACAATACAGTAAGTGTATGTAAACAATACAGTACGTGCGTGTAAACAATACAGTATGTGTATGTAAACAATACAGTACGTGCGTGTAAACAAATTTCTATCAGCTGTGCTGTGTTTCAAACAATACTCAGTCTGACATAAATTAGAATGAATGTGAACGTCCATGTAAAAGTACATCGTTTCCTACAGGTCGCTCATTTTGGCCAAACTAGACATATTTTTTATTTCTAAAGGATGAAATACACCATGTCAGAGACATGAATAACAGAGACGACTCTGTTTATATACAGCCTAAGAGAGATAACTTCTTCCAATGTTTTTTTTCATTATTTTAACTAGTTCAAGGTTCAGTTATCGAAAAAAAAACCCATCAGATTATTGGATTGAATTTCCTAAAATCACGTGGAGATGTCTTTTTAATTTCAATTAAAAGTTGTTTTTTATCATTTAAATGCCTTTTTACTCAGGGGGCTCGGTTTCGGGATTTTGAGTAATGTATGACTTCAGTTGATAACTACAGCACTGAAAAATCCAGTAATCACACAATACTGAGACCTTATAAAATAAGGTATCGACATGTACAAAGCACATCGATAACCCTCAAATTCTATAAGGCTTCAAAATGCGTATTGATATTTGATCTATAGTGCTGTGGCTATAAACCGTGGTCAAATATTACTCCGCAAATTTCGCAAAGCGAGTCCCAATGCATTTCTATATAATAGGCCGAGCTCTACAGTTCCACGTGCATGAAATCTACAACCACACAAGACGTACTAGACGAACCTTGACAACCCCGTCCTACCACTTTAAGAGTTCCATTGATGACTATAACAGGTTGTTCCTTTCCTTCTTTCTGTTCTTGTTATTTCTACGTTGTCCGTGTTAGCCATCAAATTACGTTTGTGATTATAGTTGTGATAATAAAGTTGAATTGAAATCAAATATGTGAACTTAATATCAACGATAACAAACATCGATGACAGATAGTCTGTAATTGATTGATTTATTTTTCGTGTTTATGTTTTTAAACAACTAACACTTTATGAGTACACGTGCCTGGACCTTCGCAACAAAACTATATTTGTCTTCACATACAAACAAAAATTGTAGAAACAACCGGAACAAGGGAATTCAACTAGAGGCTAAGTAAGAAACAGTCGGGTTTATGTATAAAATATTTGAGATACTCGGAATCGTTTCTAGCCGGGATAGTTAACCTAATCATGTTACACAGATTAAGTGAATTTCCGAAACATTCGTAGATCTAGATTTTTCAGTGTTTGAAAGGATCGTGCCATGAAATTTAACCGATAGTAAATATGAACACATCCAAACTTGTTTTAAATTTTATAAATGATTTAGATAAATGAAATTTATTAGATCTTTTTTGAGTCTTAAGGGGCTTTTGAGTCAGGGACGTATATATAATATATACGTCCCTGTTTGAATTGAGTGACGCCAGCTGTGCGATCCGACAAAAATTAAGCTGCCGAGACCGAGAGAGATTTATAAAATTATTGTGTAAGTTACTTGTCATATTTAATGAAAGTACACTCATGTTCACAAGTACCTGTGGTATAGGACGGAGCTAGTGACGTATAATCACCAACTGCGTTAGGCATCATTATGACTACAGTGTAACAACAACATTCGAAATTTCGCGCGTTTTTCTTTCCGGTAATAAAATTGTGACATTAGCCCTTTGAAATGTTATATCAAATCTAAAATGATTACGTATCCGTGTTCTAAAAAATGTTCGAAAATATGAAGGGAATTGAATATTCCAAACAAAAACATTATGACGATAGAAAATTGCACGACAACCATAAAGCGGTCGCCTTAGTATTTATGAACACAATATGGCGGATCGACGAAGCACGACACCGAAAGGTAAGCTAATATTTTTACGTGAAATCAAGATAACAGTTAAACTGATTTGATGAATTTATCATTGGAGTGTGTTATTATCTATTACACGAGGCGTCTGATCAATAAAACAAAATTTTAAAACGATACATTTACCTTCATTCTTCGATAGGAAGTCAAGTGACCAAAAGTCGGATGTCAATTGTTTACAAGACAGAGTACGATTGGCACTGTTGTCATTCGTCAAAATCAAGTTATGTATTATACTCTAGATGTGTCTTTAGTACACCTATGTTGTGACGATCTCATATATATGCCTTTCTATCTACTGTATGATAACAATGGAATGCAATGGAAACAAACCAAACATTTTTTTCGATTATATTAGGCTTACCATCTTGTAGAATTAAAATCAAATTAATGAAATTTGTTTGATAGAAAATGCAGACGCTGTAAGAGAGCTCCTAGATACAGCAGAACAAAATCTTGACACAAAATCTACAGACAGTAATGGACGTACACCTTTACACATCGCCAGCAGTTATGGACAGTACTCAATGGTGGAAAAGCTTCTGAAGGTATGCTGGGCCATTTCAAGCACAAGCTTCCTCTGTCTTCTATACCAGGTGTTAGATTTGTTGATTGGTTACAAGTTTTACAACCGTTTTTATGTTCAGCAAAAATGAGGGGTGAGGCCTTTATCCCTGCCTCCGGAGGCATAAGCACTAGATCCATTTTGTATGTTGCCTGAGTCGGGCTAGGTCTCAAGAATGCCTAGGGTGCCTTGAGGTCTGTCAGGCAGTTGTTAATCCAATGCTTGTACACTGGTGAATTATAAAACATCATGGTGAGTAGATATCTGTACATCAACGCCCCAGACATGGATTTTGACCAGATACTGTGTGGTCCATGCGCCAGACATCTTGTAGTAGGAGTGGGTCAGTGTTGTCAGAGTCGAAAGTTCGATTCCTGACTGGGGCGCTTGATGAGAATGTGTATTTTCCCTGTTCTGTTACATTGGCGCCCAACAAAGTCCTAAGAGTTGTGGTATTTGGAGTCTTTGCTTGAGATTTTGAAAAAAAAACAGGTGGATTAGTGTAAGAGGAGCAGGTCAGTGTGGCTTGTATATAGCATTAAAATGCGGTCTCTCTCACTCAGCTGATGGATATTATCCCTGTTCTTTTACAATCTATCTGTCAGAATATCTAATTGTTAGGAAACTTACATATTACATTGTGAGAGTATATCGATCATGTCGCTTTTTAAAAGATTATATCCTTTAATTAATAGGTAGTCAAATCATGAATCTTTGAGGGAATATAAGCATTGTAATAAATCAGTGAGTGGTTTTAATGAATACCATTTAAGTACTATTAAAACGCTCCATCAACAGTATCATTCTGTCAAATATGTGGTGGCAAAAATCTTAGGTCCATTGATATATTTATATTAAAACATTTCATTTTCATTGGGCATCTCATGCATCAAATGGGTATGATATTGAGCTAAAGTATATAGAAAGTTTGAAAACATCATTAGAAGTACACATACTATCTTATTGATATGGTAGATAAAGTTTTAGATTTGTTCAAGATATACACCATATTTATTGTGATTATCTTGCTATTACCCTCTATCTAGTACATTTTGATAAGACCATTAATTTTATTCATGCAGATTCAGCAGAAATGACAACAGAAGGCATATCATTGTCTGCAGGATAAGCCTACCCATCACCTTCGGTTAAAAATGGGCCTGTTTCCTATCAAAATTGTTTCATATTTCAGGCAAAGTTAATTAAATTTTCAATATTGTGAAAATTTACTTCCCAATTCGCCAAAAATTAGGCAAATATGCCATTGAAAAAAAGCCTTGATGATTTAGATTGTCTTCTGTATTAGGCTGGAGCCGAGCCCCTGGCACGTAGCAATACTGGACGAACTCCACTGCATGAAGTGTGTATTAGCGGTCATAAGGACTGTCTAAATCTGATCCTACAACACACCCCGGAAGTGAATGTCCGTGATCGTGACAATCAGACCCCTGCCCATGTTGCAGCATTCAATGGTGAGCTTGGCTGCCTGAAAATACTTCACACCAAAGGTATGTATACTTATATATATATACATGATGTATATACAAATATCTACAATGTAGATTAAATATTATGTATGAAGCAAAAAACATTTTTATCAATTTTACCTAATATTATAGAGGAAGTATTGTTGTATGTATATGACAAGATAGAATTGAGAGAATATATGTTTGTATAGCTGTGTACCTAGCCCAGTATATAGATAACATGGAATTCTAATCTTTGGTAAGAATTTTTTTTCAATTTTAGTAAATATTAGTATATAATCCAGATTCCTTATGCAGTACATCATTTGCCTATTTTCATCACATTGACTACATAGAAATTGGCCCTCTTGCTTATGAATAAATAAATAACCCTAAAAAAAATCCAGTCTAGTCATGACAAGATGTTGCAGGCCTTGTTTACCTGTGATTCTGTTTACAGGTAGCAGTCTGGTAGCAGAAGATAAGTTAGGAAGACAGGTCAGCCATCTTGCTGCCATGAGAAACCATAAGAAGATTCTCCAGTACTTGTTTGACCAGGGAGTGGACCTAGATAGCCGTTGTGAAATAGGAAAGACTCCTGTCCACTATGCTGCCCAATATGGCTGTAAGTGTGTAATTTAGTTAAAGCTATATTGAATTTACAATATCAACAAATGCAAAAACTGTCAAACCATGGCAATTATGTATCAGATGATGTCATTGGTCAAATTCAGTCACATGACCAAATATTTCATTTTACTTTTTATCAATCTGGTCGACTTACTATGGTTTGTGTACTTTGATGTATTGATCGTGTCAATTTAAAGCCCTGTTTGCTCTTAAGTGTAGTACATCATGCAGTATTTTATAATTCAGTCCTGTTCAACTTAATGCGAACTTTGTACATGGCATCTTATACTAATGCCATGTGTCCATATTAGACAGGTTTCACTGTATGAGATCTATGCAAATGACATCTTATATAATTGATATGTGTCCATATTAGACAGGTTTCACTGTATGAGATCTATGTACATGACATCTTATATAATTGATATGTGTCCATTTTAGACAGGTTTCACTGTATGAGATCTATGTATATGACATCTTATATAATTGATATGTGTCTATTTTAGACAGGTTTCACTGTATGTGAACTTTGTACTTGACATCTTATATAAATGATATGTGTCCATATTAGACAGGTTTCACTGTATGAAATCTATGTAAATGACATCTTATATAATTGATATGTGTGTCCTTAATTGATATGTGTCCATTTTAGACAGGTTTCACTGTATGGGATCTATGTACATGACATCTTATATAAATGATATGTGTCCATATTAGACAGGTTTCACTGTATGAGATCTATGTATATGACATCTTATATAAATGATATGTGTCTATTTTAGACAGGTTTCACTGTATGTGAACTTTGTACTTGACATCTTATATAAATGATATGTGTCCATATTAGACAGGTTTCACTGTATGCGAACTTTGTACATGACATCTTATATAAATGATATGTGTCTATTTTAGACAGGTTTCACTGTATGAGATCTATGTACATGGCATCTTATATAAATGATATGTGTCCATATTAGACAATTTTCACTGTATGAGATCTATGTACATGACATCTTATATAATTGATATGTGTCCATATTAGATAGGTTTCACTGAATGGCAGCCCCATAATGTCTTATATTTATGATATTTGTGTCCGTTTCAAACAAGTTGTTCTGATGTTTGACATTTTTTGAATTACATGATGTCCTGTATTTTTGTTCTTTCTAGACTAGTTTATCTGTATAATACTTGTACCTATATTCATAATATAAGTCTCTACTTTTGACAAGTTTCACTGTACAGCAACTACATGATGTCTTGAATATATAGCTATCAGTGTTTATTTATGACCGATTCTGTCATATAATAGTTCTTGTACATTTCCGATGTACATTTTACCTTGTGTAGCTGTAGTAATCAATTTATCGTTGTAAATGTTTTGATTCAAAAATTAATTTCACTTTATTCAATATAATGCAATATATATTATTGGTTTTGCCTCACAGCACTCGACTGTGTGATTTTACTTATACAACGCGACTGTGACATTACACTCGGTGACAACAATGGCTACCTTGCAGCCCATCATGCAGCACGCCACAACAAACTCGACATTGTCCGCTTCCTAGTAAAACAAGGCACCTCCCTGGAAGTTACACAAGCAGACGGCAAAACACTGAGTCATGTCGTAAGTAATTTTAAAATCTTTTATAAAATAAATACATGACCTGATGAATTGTTTTCACAATTTTTTAAGCCAAAATTTATTTACCAACAATGGATGTCAGAATATGTTGTAACTTAAAATAAGTACAACATTCAAAGTGACAAAAATTTCTATAGGTCACAGGTCAAAGTCAGATGTTTATGCCATTATCTCGCACAAATAGAGAGAGTAATTAAAAATCATACAAGTTTAATAAATGTTTATAAACAGATATAGGTGAATATGACCTTTTTTTCACTTCTTTATCCCCCGCTTTCACCGAAACAGGGGATATTAATTTGGGTTTGTCTGACCGTCCGTCCGTCCGTCTGTCTGTCACACTTTCGTTTCCGTGTTCTAACTTCCCCAAATTTCATCCAATTTGGGTGAAACTTGGTCAGCAAATGCATCTTAGGGTCATTAAGACTGAGTTTGACTATCAGTGTCATTATGCATACTAATGAGATATCCTTTGATTTCATTGGTCGGTTCATTTCCGTGCTCTAACTTCCCTAAATATAATCCGATTTAGATTAAACTTGGTCAGCAGATGCATATTAGGGTACATAAGACTGAGTTCAGCAATTAACATTTGATATGTCCAATAAAACATCTACTCTCTACAATTCTTTACATCTTTCTTTGGCTTTAAAGTAATACACCATAGCTCAAGAGAATATATCATTCTACATAGCATTATGACATGTTTACTCCTAACCTCTAAAATATTTACAATATGTTTGGAAAGCAGGGGATATAAATTCCATGAATTTGCTTATATATTTTTATTATTAATTTATCAGAATCTGTGTTTAAATTCATCTCCTTCAAATATTTCCAAAATCATATTGAAAATAATTGTTTTAAAGCATTTTCAGATACAAATATTTGATATCAGAAACTCCATGTACAATTATGCCTACAACAATGTTGATGTGATACAGCTTTATAGATATTGTCTTGATAACATTAAGTGGTGTCTGTATAGAATGATCTAATGACTCAAGCCTATAAGAATGTTTTTCTGGTTTTGTTTGCTGCAGGCAGCCCAACATGGAGCCCTCAATGTTCTACACTGGCTTCTAGAAAAAGGAGCTGATCCCAACCAACAAGACTGTGAGTATTTTATTTTCCTATCAAAAAGGTCAAATCATAGCTTGCAGAGGTCACTAGCCAGTACAGAGGTCAATATGACTATAGAGAGGACTTACAAAGGTTACTATGATTTAACAGAGGTCATTACGGCTTTCAGAGGTCACTGAAACTAACATGTACAGAGGTCACTATGACGACTTACAGACTGTACAAAACTCACCAGGACTTACAGAGGTCACTGTAACTTACATGTACAGAGGTCACTATGACGACTTACAGACTGTACAAAACTCACCAGGACTTACAGAGGTCACTGTAACTTACATGTACAGAGGTCACTATGACGACTTACAGACTGTACAAAACTCACCAGGACTTACAGAGGTCACTGTAACTTACATGTACAGAGGTCACTATGACGACTTACAGACTGTACAAAACTCACCAGGACTTACAGAGGTCACTGTAACTTACATGTACAGAGGTCACTATCACTTACAGACTGTACAAAACTCACCAGGACTTACAGAGGTCACTGTAACTTACATGTACAGAGGTCACTATGACGACTTACAGACTGTACAAAACTCACCAGGACTTACAGAGGTCACTGTAACTTACATGTACAGAGGTCACTATGACGACTTACGGACTGTACAAAACTCACCAGGACTTACAGAAGTCACTAAGACTTATATACAGAGGTCACTATGACCTACAAAGGTCATCATGACTTATATCAATTGCTATGACCTACAGATGTTATTTATATGGCTTGTAAAAGTCACTAGCTAACCTTAAATAGATCATCTTAACTTATACATGTTATTATAATTTACAGACATCACCATGACTTACAAAGGTAACCATGACTTATACTGGTCACTATGACTAACAATAGTCTCTGACTTACAGAGATCACCATGACTCACACTGAGATCACCAAGATATACATGTACAGAGGTCACCATGACATACAGAGGTCATTAGGACATACAGGGGTCACCTTAACTTTTAACTGAGGTCATTTATCACTTAAAATTTTTTTTGAAGATTTTGGAAATACACCTGGACATTATGCTGCTGACAGTCGGAGGCCAGAATGTCTCAGCTGCTTTTTATACCATGAGGGGGACATTGAGAGTCAAAACATCAAAGGGGACACACCTCTAGATGCTGCTCGTAAAGCTGGCTGTCCATTACAGATGGAGAAAGGAGGTAGGTTTATCACATTACTGATAATGTCCAGGTTGAGGAAGGCTTGTAACATAACCATTGAATAAAGATAAAGTAATTCTGGGTGTCATAAATTGTCCCTGATTCTGATTATCTGATCATGACTAGCAAAACTATGTCTTCAGTAGATTGCCAATTCTTTTGCAATATTTCATATAAAAAATCTCTTCTATAGAGCCTGGTAATTAAGCACTTAACTCTACCTATATGAATGAATGGTACACTTTGTAGTTCTAATATTGTTAGATGTTATTTACATGTGTTATCACCAATAATAAAAATTAAAAAATTGTATCAAATTTAACATATATATCACAGTTCAAATTTACCCATTATAATAGTATATACACACGTTTGTACCTAGACACGGTTTATTTATTTTATCGTTTTTTTTTTTAACAGTAAACAACAAACAACCATGTGAGATGTGTTTCCAGAAGTACAAGAAGGCTGTATGGGACAAATCACATCCTCCTACAGCAATGGAGAGACAATTAACTAAGGCTAAATCTACTGCTTATAAAAACCCAGTCCCCAACGCCGTGTATGTATATCATAACTGTCTGCAAACCTGATGAATTCATGTTCATTTCTATGTACCTCAGGTCGTCTTGAGAATAACTGTAGAAGTCTTGGATAGATTTGAACGAAATTTTGCATGAGTTACATGTAATACCACAAATCAAAGATATTAAATTCATGAATTCCAACTTTGTGGACCACTATCACAGACAGGTGCTTAGATTGGGTTTGACAGGTAAATCTTGAAAAGATAATTTTCATAATAGAACTCTGAGGGCTAGATTTAACATTTTTACAACATAAATGTGCATTACTAATAAATTATTCCATGATTTTATTATGTATGTATGTTCCAGGAGAGTGCCGACACAGCTTCAGCTTAATCTGATGAAAAGAGACAAACGATTAGCCAAAGCTGCCCCGAAGGTGAATGTGTCCAAACGAGACCTATCAGCACAGTACTTTGGAGAGTTCTTAGATCCAAATGATGTGTTTGCCTTTAAAGGAACTGAAGAAAATCTTCGATTCTAGTCCTAATTATTTACAAATTCTTATAATTACATAATTATTATTCAGGCTGTGATTTTCCTTTTTAAATTTAAATGCATAATACAAATGTTTAAAATCAATTCAGATTATCATATTTTTATGAATATATTCATATATACATTTGATCATTTATGATATAGAATTTATCCTTATATCAAATTATTATTGGAGGGGGGAGGGGGTTTAGGAAGAGGGGGTGGGAACTTTTTTTCTCATGGATTATGTTGGTACTTTATTTCCATAAATTCCTATGTCCCAAATATATATAGTGTTATAAAGAAATATAGTAAAAAAAATTTTTTTATTTTTTTTTTGCGTATTAACGATCAATGAAATCAAATGCCTTTGAATTTTTTTTTTTTTTCTTCAGAAAATCATGAATATTAATCCATACAATATTAAAATATTTCAGTCATTTGAAAATGTTATGACTGTTTGATATGTTTCAAAGATATTACTTGTTCCATCACACAATACACTATTCCCTGTACATCATTTTCAAAAATGACAACTTACCACATGCTGAACTGCATAAATGATGCAGTAATCATTACAATTTACTAAATGCATGTATACTCATTTATTAATAAAATTTCATGAAGATATGTTTTTTCTTACCTCTTAGTTTTATTTGTTATCTTTACACTAAGATTTCATGCAGGATATGTAATGGTATAAGTCTGTTGTGTTCTGCTGTGGTAGAATGGACAATCCCCATCTCAGATGAATTTGTGACAATTACAATGGATATGTCTTAAAGAACAAAGAGAATATCCATATGTATATGTAGTGTATGTATTAAACTTATTTCATGTACCATATTTTCCGGGTTATAAGCCACATCTTTTTCCTCTGCGGTTGGGCGTGTGACTTATATGTGGACAATAAAAAATTGACAGAATAAAAATAAATGCAGTAATGCATGTATCACGCTTGTTTCATATACTGGTAAGTATATATACCAGTTTAGGCAGAAATCAATGCATCATATTAGTTTAAGTTGAAATTTTTAATTTCTTTCTTTGTAATTGGGAGTTGAAAAATGTGTAAGGTATATTGATGAATTTATCCGTCTAATCTTAAAATTATTGATGTTCAATATTGGTATTTCAAACTGTTTACTTCTCAACAACTGCATGTTTTGAAGTTAGAGTATCCAAAAGAACGGTCAAATTCTTTCTTCAGTGTTGGTACAAGCATACAGTGGAATTATCATTTTAATCATAATGGCTGTTTTTTTTTTAATCTCTTTCTTTCAATATATATTATCAAAAACCAAAATCCAAATTACAACCTAAGTACAATGTGTATATACTGAACAAGAAATAGGATTTAAACAAAAAAGTTTAATTAAAATGAAATTGAATTTAAATAAGAACCAATTCATCAAGCTTTCATATTTGGAGGATACTAACCCTAGTGGTTTGCTTCCTGGGTAAGAAATGCAGGACCTTGGGGATCAGTCCAGCTGTGCTATCCACCATATGCTATCCACACCACATGCTATCCACACCTCATGCTATCCACACCACATGCTATCCACCTCATGCTATCCACACTACATGCTATCCACCACATGCTATCCACACCACATGCTATCCACACCACACACTATCCACACCACATCCTATCCACCACATGCTATGCACACAACATGCTATCTACACGATATGCTATCCACCACATGCTATCCACACCACATGCTATCCACCACATGCTATCCACACCACATGCTATCCACCACTTGTATTGGCCCTGGGCTTATTACTGGATAAATTCAGAATATGTTGCACTCCAATGTACAGATTTGTATTTGTATCAAAATTTATATGAAACAGTTTGTCATATAATCATATTTAAATAATTAAAGAGATTGTGTCATGAAAACTTGTATTCAAACCAACAAAGATTCAATAATTTTCTTCATCAAATTGAACTTTGACCTTGTATTGATGTAAACTGATTTCAAACTTTCCCTCTCCTTTGACTTTCCTTTAGATCACTTTAGATTTTCCTCCGTCGCCTCCCAGTCTTTAAAATTTAGGCTCTCAGCATCACTAATGAGTCCTACAGGGACCAAACAGCTGTATGATGAAGTTTAACTCATTGTTTGGCTCTACTGTAACTCTAACTTATTAACAGGTGCTATTCACTTTTATGTCTTTTGTACAATCTTCATTTAAAAGATACCATATAAATCTAGTTTTTCTCGTAAAGGTCTTCTCTTTGTCAAGGTATCCCATTATCTGATCTTATATTTACTAATAAAGAACGACCAATCACTGCTTAGCTGACAAATGATAATATATGCATGTAATCACCACATCTGGCTGCGCTGACACAACCTTCAATAGAAATGTCATTTATGCTCCAATTATTGTTATACCAGCAAATTCTCTCAGAAACTAATCCAATATTTTTCCAATCCAAACAATTGTTCTTTGGTCAAGTGTATATATACTAGGGTTGTGAAATTGCAAAATACATTATGTTTCAGAAAATCACATTCAGGTTCTTCTCCAAGAGAATTATTCAGAAAATTTACTATACTATAATGATTTCAAAATTTACTCTAAAACCCCATGTGATTTTTGCACCTGTCCTTTGTGGAGGTATTTTTTGGGGCTGAAATTTGAACAAAAATTTTCTGTCCTTAATTTTTTGGGAGAAAAAAAAAATGACAAACACAATATTAAGGTCCTGAAAATTGATCTGCAATTACAAGATATCAATTATCTTACATATTTACATATAATTTAGTAAATACTGAAATGTGATTTTATGAATACTAAATGTATTATTATTTTTTTTTAAACCGATAAATGTTCCCTTTTATTGAATGATAACATTTCAGCATGTATCATATCAACTTCACATTGAAAAAGCATACTGAATCATGCTATGCTGTAAGGCTCAAAAGACTTGATAATGAAATAAAAAAATGTAAATCTGTAACGGTGATTGATTTTTTTAATTTGGTATAGCTGTATCCACTAATTAGATGTGTGACAAGACTAGACATATGTTACTCTGGACCAAATGACATTTGTCCTGGTCCTCCTTTCTTCATGTAACGACGATAACTTTTATATCTAGCACTTTCTGCCATTTTAATTTTCATTTCATCTTCCTTTTCTTTTTTCCACACCTAAAAAAAAAAAAAAAAAAAAATGATATCTACAATTCAGGAAGTGGATGCAAAACAGATAAAACTTACTGACTTATCTCAAAACTTTCATGACCAGGCATTGAATTTTTTAACAAGAGGCCCATGGGCCTTAACGGTCATCTGACAAAAAGCAAGCCAAACCTAGAAAGTGGGTTGAGGTCATTCATTTGAACAAACTTGGTAGCCTCTCCTCCAAGCATCTTACAGGCCCAATATCAGCACTCATGGACTTTTGCTTGTTGAGAAGAAGTCGTTTGTATATTTTAACATATTTGACCCCTGTGACCTTGAAAGTGGGTTGAGGTCATTCATTTGAATAAACTAGGTAGCCTTTCCTCCCAGCATGCTACAGACCCAATATCGGCACTCATAGACTTTTGCTTATTGAGATGAAGTCCTTTGTATATTTTAACATATTTGACCCCTGTGACCTTGAAAGTGGGCCAAGGTCATTCATTTGAACAAACTTTGTAGGGCTCCATGCCAGCATGCTATGGGCCAAGTATTAGCCCCCTAGGCCTTCTAGTATTTGAGAAGAAGTTATTTAAAGATTTTGACATATTTGACCCCTGCGACCTTGAAAGTTGTTCAAGGTCATTCATTTAAATAAACTTGGTAACCTTTCCTCCCAGCATGCTACAGACCCAATATCGGCACTCATAGACTTTTGCTTATTGAGATGAAGTCCTTTGTATATTTTAACATATTTGACCCCTGTGACCTTGAAAGTGGGCCAAGGTCATTCATTTGAACAAACTTTGTAGGGCTCCATGCCAGCATGCTATGGGCCAAGTATTAGCCCCCTAGGCCTTCTAGTATTTGAGAAGAAGTTATTTAAAGATTTTGACATATTTGACCCCTGCGACCTTGAAAGTTGTTCAAGGTCATTCATTTAAATAAACTTGGTAACCTTTCCTCCCAGCATGCTACAGACCCAATATCGGCACTCATAGACTTTTGCTTATTGAGATGAAGTCCTTTGTATATTTTAACATATTTGACCCCTGTGACCTTGAAAGTGGGCCAAGGTCATTCATTTGAACAAACTTTGTAGGGCTCCATGCCAGCATGCTATGGGCCAAGTATTATATATATTTGAGAAGAAGTTATTTAAAGATTTTGACATATTTGACCCCTGTGACCTTGAAAGTTGTTCAAGGTCATTCATTTAAACAAACTTGATAGCCCTTCATCCCAGCATGCCACAGGCACAATATCAGCAATCTGAGCCTTTTGGTTATTGAGAAGAAGTTGTTTAAAGATTTTAACATATTTGACCCCTGTGACCTTTAAAGTGGGTCAAGGTCATTCATTTGTACAAACTTGGTAGAGCTCCATGCCAGTATCCTCTGTGCCAAGTATTAGCCCCCTAGACCTTCTAGTATTTGAGAAGAAGTCGTTTGAATGAAAAGTTTACGGACGGCGCACGGCGGACGGCGGACGGCGCACGGCGGACGACGACGGACGAAGCATGATGACTATAGGTCATCGGACCCTTCGGGTCCAGATGACCTAAAAATGAATTCAAAATTGTACTACATTTACAAATCTTTGGCCACGGATTACAATGTTTTAATCAGGGCCGTTAAATCTCAGAAATATGTTTGGACACTGAAAGCGTTCTAACTGCAGATACAAATGAGATAAGTCTGATGAAATTGTAAAATTTACAGGTATTAAAAAACAGATTGTTACAGAATACTTCATAAAAACTAAAGTTACATTGATGCATTACATTAAATGGCCAGGTATTGTCAACATGACAAAACTTTTATAACAAATACACACCAGAAATTTTTCCTTTATCCAAAGTTCTTGTAGTAAATAATCTTCTTTTTCATGGTCTTGTAAAGCCTGATATAAAAGGTCACAGATGATACAACAATCAAGACATATCATTATTTACACATCAACAGGATTTCTAAAAATCTAAAATAATGTCATTTGGTGTTCAAATGTATACTAAAACAGAACAGATGACGATGTTTATCACATTATATATATAATTTAGGAATAACCATGTTATCTATTAACTATAAAAGATAAGAAGTCTTCAACGACTACTGTAGTGTAATACATTATCTTAATATCAGATTACTTACATCACAATTTTAGTCTTGTGTCATAGGTATGTTTTTAAATACTTACATCAAATTGTCCTTGACTAACTTTCAAGTTTCTTCGAATGAGGTAGTATTTAGCTGCCAGATCATATTCCTCCTTTTTAATTCTGTATCGCCATGTCCAATCGACACAGGACACAACATACTTGTACAGGGTGTATGGAAGCAGGAGTATTTGTAGCCATAGTACATCGTAAATAGTCGGTTTCTGATATGCACCCCTGGCAATGATAAAAAATACCTAAATGACACCCACTGTTACAAGCCTACTACAAAAATCAACTGAACTTTTTTTTTCATTTTCTGGAAAATTGAAACACAGCTTAGCTTCGGAAATATCAAAATCATCAGCATTTCCATTTAATGTTTAAATATTTCAACTTTACATATCAAATTTTTACATCTGTTCAAAATATTGTTTACCTTCATTGCTTCAGATGATATTGATTATCCAATTTTAACAAGTCTAAAATACATGTATCGATAATTTAGAATGGGTACATCAGGTCTAAACACAAAGAAGTGTGGTACAAAACAATATTCAAACACAAAGAAGTGGTACAAAACAATATTCAAACACAAAGAAGTGTGGTGCAAAACAATATTCAAACACAAAGAAGTGTGGTACAAAACAATATTCAAACACAAAGAAGTGTGGTACAAAACAATATTCAAACACAAAGTAGTGTGGTACAAAACAATATTCAAACACAAAGAAGTGGTACAAAACAATATTCAAACACAAATAAGTGTGGTACAAAACAATATTCAAACACAAAGAAGTGTGGTACAAACAATATTCAAACACAAAGAAGTGTGGTACAAAACAAGAGATCCCAGAGGGATCTTGGCGCCCACCATTTGAGGATCTGTTTTCAGTTCTTGAAGATTTTTTTTTGTTTGTTACAGGTGTTGTAAATGTTCATGAACTGGTCTTCATTGAATGTACTCAATGATGGCAAAAGATATTTTTATTAAGCACCTATTAGCAAATATCATTTGAAAAAGATCCCAAAGTATTATTAGATAGCAGTCAGTTACAGGTGGATAATGGACAATATGCTTGTGCTGTATTACTGTCGACATCCAAAATGGCTGCCTGTGGGCCACCTTGATTTCAAATCAGTCCAAAAAAGGTACAATGCACAACTAGGGACCAAGGGAAACCAATATCTATGAAATATCAGAAGGATCCATCCTGGACTTCCTCAGATATAGCAGTAACAAGATTTTACTCTCAAAATCCAAGATGGCTGCCTGTACAAAACAATATTCTATTCTCCACATGTGTAGCACAGAACTATCTGCATTGTTTTTTTTTTCATTTATTTTCAAAAATAATTTTTTTCTTTTCGAATAATAAAAAACAGCAAATAAAAAATGATACCTCTTTAGACAAATTAGATCTGGATTGTTTCTCCTAAATTTCAACACATTATCTAATACTTAAAAATATGTCAATCCTAATATTTTTTTTGTCACTGAAAATAGCAAACATACCTAATGTCCATTTTCTCTTCTATAACTTTTCTAATAACAGCTTCTTCCTCCTCTCGTATCTGTTCCTGTAAGAGAAAAACACAGTTTTATAATCTTATCATTTCTCAAGACACCTCAATCAATACATTTACACAGTAACATTCACTTTACAAGATACTACTTTTCAAAACACATCACAAAAGTGAACACCCGCAGAAACTTGTGTATATGTTTAATCAGTACATCAGGATTTCAAGAATTTAGAAACAAAAAATACTGCTCTAAAGCTCATTTCCCTTCATATTAAGAAACTTTATAACTAATTAAAATTATTTTTTAATTTCATCTTTTAATTTTGATGTTGATAGTGGAAAAAACAAATCTGACTTGTAAATACTGAGTACATTATCGTCCAGCATTAAACTTTCTTACCTTATTTCTCCGATCCTTCTTTTTGTTCGTACTATTAAAAAGTTTTTCTTGTTTAATAATTTCCTGAGCTCTGAACCTGTATTTTGGTTCCTTACTTAGATATGTGATAGCAGTGTTGTAGTTATTCCACGCAGCCCAATACTGAAACAATAATAAGTTAGAAAGTCACATTAAACAGACTGTGCTGAGAGGAAGACATTTTCTGGTATTCCTTAGGTTGTCCTTGCAGCGACTGGTAGCTACCTCACTGAACAACATATGGGAGGCCTGCCACATGTCATCCAGAGCAACAGAGGGCAAAATGTTTTAGATAGATTAAGAAACAACCATATCAGCTTCCTGAGAATTACTAACTGCTCTTGGAAGGCAGCTTCAAACCATGCACCTCAGGTCTGCATTTGAGTTTGCAAAGCATAAGGTTGTAACCAACAATGGCTATAAAACACTGGATCTGAGGGAATCAAATAAAATCTGGAATATATCAACTATTAGGGTATCGCCAAACAAATCTTTGCTGGGGGACAGAAACAGTTTTTCAACTTAATGCATTTAGGAAAAAATCAATTTTTGGTTATTGACTAAGCGTTTCAACTAATCATCCATTGAAAGTTGTCGCCAAACATCTTAAGAAATCGTAAAGGGTATTCACAATTAACATAACTACGTTGAACTGAGCAGCTTTTCCTAACTTATTAATTGACACTGTAAAACATTTGTTAATCTAAATACAAATTGAATTGAAGCATTGAACATGTTGTTTGAGAGTCTCTAGTGAATTTTTAAAGCAAATTTGATATTTCGTAACGTTTGATTTTCAGAAACTTGGGGAGTGAAAAGATTCTTGAAAACAACAGAAAGATGAATAGGAATCCACACAAGAATCGTTCGGTTTTTACCTGGATTAAAGATATGATGGAAATTGTGACAACCACAACAATACGAGGATCAACTTTAGGAGCATACCGACGTCTGTAGTAGTTATAATAGTTAGCGAGATACTCATCTGAAACAAACAAAATACACAATGTCAATATGTCGAAGTTCTCTTACTCTTACTATCATCTTAAAATTCTTGACCCCCGATCAGCACAGAGGTTGTCATAAAGCCCAACAAATGATTCTCAATATGCGGATAGAATCATGAATGTTCAAATTATTCCATGCATGAAGTGGTTGACAAAGCCATGGTGTTGATTCAATTATCATTTACAATAGACAAACTGATTCAGCCTTTCATCATTTCTATGCTGATATTTATCTTTTCACATACATGCTTTTTCTAAAATGGTAGATAATGATAAATGCTAAATTGAATCATATAACAGGTCGATATTTACGATAAAGGATAATACTGTAACACTGTAAAAACTTTAATCACAAAGAAAAGCTCCATATCAATGAGCAACTTGGGAGCATATACGTGCATCTTAGTAAGAAGATTAAGAGTTATGTCCCTTTAGAAGTAATCATTTTGACACAGTGCAAATCCTGAATAACAGCTGTGGTAAAGAGTATGGTCAGTAATGCATATGAATGGTAATATGTTGTTGTGAGACAATGCACAACTTAGTCAAAAGCTTGCGAGTTTAACCTCTGGAGTTCATGTTTATTTTTCTAACAGTTTCAAATGAATATAATTTTTATCAAATACAGCGATAAGGTTACATGAAACACATCAAACTAAATAACTTTGAAACATTTCTTAATATATTCATATCTATTATACATGTACTTTTATCTTTACAGTATAAAAACATACAATATAGATAAAATGTTTTGAATTTCAAAATATCAAAAATAACATTTCTGATAATCATGTTGTATAGATCAACTCAAAGTTTTCAGCAGGTTGTGAAAATAGACAATCATGTATTCTTTAAAAAAAAGTTTGCAAAAAAAAAAAAAAAAAAAAAAACAACAAACAAAATGTACACTAGATTGAAACATTTAGTTACAAATAGATATTTACCTGGATGATCCAACATATAATCATAATCTGTTCTTTGTTCTTCATCTCGTAAAATCTAGAAATTGATTCGTAAAAAATCAAGATTATTATCGTTAATCAAAATATTTCCTGAAAACTGTTTGCCTGTACAATAATCATACCATACCAGCTGTGTAAGATTTCTAGGGGTACACTTTGAGTAAATGTTCCATACAATTCAGCCGATCAAATTGGGTACTTCAGAGCTTCACATTTGAAAAGCCTATCACATCTTTAACAAAGGTTAAGGACCATGGAAATTTGTTAATGCTGGCACACTGCTATTTAAAGAGGTTTTCGCTAAAAAAATACTGCATGAATTTAAAATTGGAAAATTATTGTATATTTCATTAAGTATTTCATGTGAACTTCTAGCAAAGTGAAAAAAAAGTAATAAAATGTATTTACATAAATATAAATTTTTTTATGTTTGTAGGAGATATAAGAATATATCACTGAATCGCCGGAAAAAATTACCTCTGTTGAAAATAAAACAAAACTTTGAAGTAAAAAGTTCAATATTACAGTCTTCTTTTATTTCTATTTAACCCAAAATAAGGATTAATTAATATGTAATTAAAACTAAGTAATTAGTATATTTTGACATCATACTTACCTCATATGCATTGGCTATTTTTGTAAACATTTTTTCTGCTTCTTCCTTTTTTGCCTGTCAATGAAAAATCCCATCAAATCTTAATATTTAATCAATGTTATAGACCAATTATTGAAAAGATAATAATTGTGCTTTGATCCAAAGATGTGTTGATTGACATTGTTATCATGGATGAATCTACCCATTGTGGAAGGAAAAAAATTCTTTACTTTTTTTAAAAATGGAAGGATTTTGGAAGCCCTATTGATAACAATTCAAAAGAGGGAGAAGATGTAAATTATATGTATCCATGAAGTTTACATTTATACAAAAAATAAAAATGACAAGGTTAGATTGATATTTCGTTCATTTTTTTTTCTATAAAGTTTTCCCTATATTTGAGAAATTTTCCAGTGTTTTCAGTAAATTTCTCAATAGGAATTTGTTTATATTCAAAAGGGAAAACACACAGCATTTTCTGGTAGTAAAATTTGTCTAAATTTATTTCTGTATATAACCCTGATGCAGGGTTTTCCATAAGAGCCGTTTGCTGGCCAATTTGACCAGCTACTTTGATCATTTGGCCGCCTACACCAATCCAGTTCTGTAATAATGTTCTGTGCACGACTTCACGTACATGGCAAGCCACCCCCACCTTGCCGTGTTGTGGCTCGGTCGGCTGGCTTTGCCAGCCTCCTACTTTCACTACACAGCCTACTACTAACAAAATTATGGAAAACCCTGCTGATGGAAAGCAAGCCAGCTGCCTTACATAGAGAAGGACCGCTTACACTGTCACTGTTGTATACATGATGAGAGAACATTACAACAGCATGTACCCATCTGTACATGTAACCTAAATCCTTACCATACAACAAATCATTGACTCTGTTAAAGGCTACAGACAGCTAATTATGTGAGGAACATGTAAAACTTTATAACAAATAACAAATAAAAAATCACTCCTGAGTCATGTAGACAGAAAAATACCATCCCTTTGTTTTATAACAGGACTTTTAAAGGTCAGTAACAAATATTTCAACCTTACATGGAATGTGTTTCCTGATAGTGTAATATACAACTTCTAAGTTCCAGTTAACAAGTTTTTATGGACCAGGGAAAGGCTGAAAGCAACTCAAATGCTGTTTTATAAATCAGAAATGTTGGTACTGTTATCACAAATAAAGTATTGAACATGTATCTTCATTTCTTACAAATAAAATTGAAATACACCTAATTGTATAGTAGTAAGAAGATTGTGAAGATTGTCAAAAATAAAACATGAACCACACATGATGGAAATCAATAAAATTTTAATATCAGTTGTTTCATACTTTAAAAACTTTTAATGATGCTAAATAGAAATCAAATTTAAAAAGTGTTGAGGGTCATATTTAGGAAAGACTTAATCTGCTGCAACAAATTAATAGCAAAGGGATCAAAGCTGAAGAAGATAACTGCTATGATTTGATAATCAATTTGATAACTTAACTGACATCGGCGAATTCCTTACCTTTGTCTTGTGCATGTCTGGATGCCATTTTCGTGCTAATCTTCTGTAGGCTTTTGTTATGTCTGCCTAACAACATCAAAAAAGAAGGAGGTACACAGCATAAAAATACAAGTATAAGTCATTTTCATTACATATAGCATCCATCTTTCAAGCTACAGAAATATCAATTCAAATATAAAAATAACAATGATAAATTTATTATATCTGAGAAATCTATTTACATGTTTGTAACATCTTTCAAGCTACAAAAATATCAATTCAATTATAAAAATAACAATGATAAATTTATTATATCTGAGAAATCTATTTAAATGTTTGTAACCAAATTTTTTTCAGAATTGGCATCTTATTATTGAAAACATTAAAACAAGTTTGGCATCAATTGCTCACCTTTGTAGAATCTCTATCAACATTTTCAAGTACTGAAACAGAGTAACAGTAAATACACCATCACTGTTTATTTTGAACATTGCATCATATAACTGTGGAGTTTTTTCTTCATTTATTTTTTATCATTTTTTCTTCATAGTTATAAATAGTAGCAACAACTTTAAATGAATATTAGTTTTCCCATGAAATAAGAATCTCTACATGTATTTTGCTTTTCTATAATTTAAAACTTAGAAGTTAGATAACAAACATTAAAAATCAGAATTGCTTGAATACGTAAATACATGTGCAGAAGGGATGGATTTTATACACCCAGTCATCCATATTAGCAAAACTGTTTAATTCTCGTATTGATGCTCTTAAAGAATTTTCAGACCCCTCAAGTATCAATGAGATATCATAAGCATATTGTGGCAACAAAATAGGACAATTTTCAACCTCAATACCCTATATGTTTCTAATATTTCTTACTTTAATGGCCAAAATTCGGCCCATAGAATGAATAAATATGGTGCAATTGGGTCCCCCTGTCTACAGGCCCTCTTTATATTAAAGAATGAAGATAAGTATAAATCTTTCTAACAATCAATTCTTAAATATGGTGCAATTGGGTCCCCCTGTCTACAGGCCCTCTTTATATTAAAGAATGAAGATAAGTATAAATCTTTCTAACAATCAGTTCTTACGATTGGCTCTGTCCCACACGTGGGTATAATATTGTTGAAATGTTCTAAAACTGTGTTTAACAGAAATACAAAATAGTAACATAGCGTTATTTATTACTGGTATTAAATTAATGTAATTTTATCTTATAGAAACAACACAAGATTGGTAATGTAATATAAGATTAATAAGAGTTATGTACCTTGTTTGCAATTGCGTATGCGTGTTTAAGTATTAGCGTGCAATTGTATTTATTTATATTTGTTACAAGTCATTAGATTGTTATGACACTACGATCGTATTAATAAAGTCTGGCACCTGAACTCATTAAATGGCTGTGTTATTACGCATAAAACATCGCCGGTTACATATATATATATATAATAAGTGCATGGTAAACAATATCAGCGGTAACATGGATAACAATGTAACATATTTTTTGTGTAGAACCGTTAGGAATTTCTGAAATGTTATACGTGGACTGTATGCAGATGAGGATTGTGTTCATTTCCAAAACTACGATGTTATAACAATTTATCTATACACGGAGAAATCAATTAGGATAAACTTACTTTCATAACAATTTTCAAGACCACAGTATAAGCCTTCTATCATCGCAATCGCTTGTGGAAGAAAACACATAAACACTACCAAACCGCTCTTGATGCCCGGTGCCATTTTGGAAATTTGACACAACAGAAAGAAAGATACGGAAATGTCGGATATTAATAATCGGACTTGAAGCGGTGATTTCATTTCCAATCAGTGCCAAAATATCTCATTTAAGTTATATGTTAAGAAATATGCTTGATGTTCTGTGATTTATTAATTATTTTTTATATTTATTTTGATTTTTCACATTCCACATTTTTCAAACATACGAAAAATATAAAAACACAATTAAGAAGAACACCTTCTCATAAAAAAGAGTTCCTCTGATATTCCAACATCCTCGGGTTTGACCCATAGCCCTTAAGATTCTATACATTCGGAACACTGTGATCAAACTGGCGCGATCTAAGTTGGTAAAAGTTAAATAATCTGTTGTTGGGGATAACACGTCCGTAAATATTACTGTTTAATTTTTTCTTCGCACAGTTTGGCCAAGTAATCCCCTGATTAATTTTGCATGGTGAAGAAATTTGTATGACATCGACTAAAATGTCCTAACCAAGTGTAAAACACAGGGACTGTTTACATTGGGATTGTTTTTTTTAAACTGAAGTGCCAGATCCCAGACGCCCGTAAGTTAAACCGTAGTGCCCAGCAGGGAATGAGTGCAAGACTATTTCACGCCCAGCAATTCATAAGAGTACTTGTCTGTACTAGTATTTTTTGTATTGTTCTGTTAATACCCTTGTAATGTATTATAAAAAGTAAACATGTAATTTGTCTTATGATTGAATGGAAAATGAGTTCTTAATAAGTATTTTTCTTGGCTGAAAAAATCGTGCATTCTAACATCCAAACCGTGCTCTTGCTTTCCCAGGTATGTATAATGTCTCGTGTGGGAGAGCAAGGCCAGATCAGAGGAAATTTGAGCTTTGCTAACCCAAAGACCAGACGCTTCATATGATTTTTAGATGGGGTTTCAAAGTATCTTGTGGGTAGCTACGGAATGTTTGTCTTAATGCAGAGTTAGAGTAAGGTGATGCACATTGGTCATGACATAACTGTAACAACACATTTACTTATTCCTAGATATGTGCTCTATTTGAAAGAAGATCATCTTTTGAAAACCAGTTTTGCCTTTTCGTTCATAATGCCCATAATCTTGTTTCCTGCACATATACCATTTGAAACTTTTCTAATGTACTACTTACATCCATATAAAAATACTCCATGCAACCCATCCTTGATACTTCAGGGTTTGAACGAGAAGTTTTGATTTCTGCACCCTTGGAATCAATGGCAAAACTGAAATCATAGGCGAAGTAATTTAATTGGTCAGTAGCAGGTTTTAGGAGGAAAAAACTTACATATCACAGGCTGATGCACTCCTTTGAAGATTATGAAGAAGCAACACCTGACTTGGAGATTCGTTTGATGTACCTCAAACAGTGTAGTCTTCTTGTCACATCAAAAAGATGCAACACATGAAACCTTCAATTTTGTCATGAAATGTTAGGTGTACGGAGTGTCCAGGGCTCTCACACCCTATTTTGGGACTGGGGCACGGGGCCCTTTGAATTGGGAAAAATAATGGTGTTTTCCTTAGAATTGGGAAGGCTTGGGGTCTAAATTGGGAAAAAAAAGATATTATTTAGCATTGGGAATGGGACGGAATATCGGTGTCATAGTTAGTGTTACTACCATCCTGTATCCCCCACTTTTTTATACTAGGTCAATGAATGGTGAACCAACCGAATATTTTCTAAAGGTATGACAGCTATTGTGAGGGTAACATTTAATATGTAAGCCAGCTTCAAATGTATCATATAACAAGTTTATTACGTAATGTAGCATAAACTAATCATTCTTGTATTAAAATTTCAGATGATTGCCATGTCTAGATCTGCCGCTACAAAACGATGTCCCATGTTCTGTCCTCGAGCATGCACGATGCTGCATCATCCACTTCTCATTGCTCTCATCAACACTAACACAACAGAGAATGGTGAAACATCCTTCACTGCACTCGAAGCCACCATTTCTCGTTATATCAAGGTTGGCTATCAGAAATATCCTAATAATTTCACATAACCTCAAGTTAAGCAGATTCAATTCAAGTATATTATTATTATTATTGAAAAACTATTTTGGTAAAGTTTGGAATGAATAACTCTCAAAAAAAATTATTGATATGTAACAGAGGTCATTATTTATTTCAATGTCTCTGCTTTAGGAATCGAACCCTGGACCCCTGGCTTACTAGTCTGTCGCTCAACCAATTGAGCTAAAGAGAAGTTAGCTGAGTGGTATATTGCGACTAGTATTTTGCCAGGGTTACATACTCCCCCTCCAGGAAATAACTTGTCCTCAAGTTTCCAGGGGTTACAGCGATGCTGGTTGGGCATGGCTAAGTACTATTTCCAGGTCCCTACGTGGGCGCCAATGTAACAGAGGTCATTATTTATTTCAATGCCTCTGCTAGGAATAGAACCTGGGACCCCTGGCTTACTAGTCTGATGCTCAACCAATCGAGCTAAAGAGAAGTTCTCTCTAGCAGAGTGGTATATTAAGGCTAGTATTTTACCAGGGTTACAGGTATTTAAGGTTATTGTAGTTAACAAACTCACTCTATTTAACTCCCATACATTCGTGTTCAGCTAGAGTGATCAGCTGTGTGACAGGTTACCAGTAACTTAAACCGTTTAAATATGGGATTAATAAAATTTCAAGTATTATTTGTACCTGGCCAATTTTTAATTTACTGTTATAGAGTTTTTAAGATGACTGAGAGGCAACATCAAGATAAAACAATTTAATTTCTTAAGACTTTCCATGTCATTTTCCTATATTCTTTTTTTAAGCTTGGTAAATGGTCAATATGTGACAACATTAATGATCCAGAACCAGACTACAGATATCCCTTAATTCACTGGGCCGTGTCTTTAGGTAAGTAAACAAAGTTCTGCATTAGGTTAAAGACAAAAGTCAATTAAACAGGATCTGAAGATATTTCATCTTTATTAATGATGCCAAATTCTGGAAATGATGTGGCACGAATAGCAAATCATTGGAAATGTGTTAAAATGTGATAAACTGCAAGATGTGATCTTATAAAAACTTTAAGATAAGAATTTCGGAGTTGGATTACATTTTATTTCATAAGGAATAATAGGATTTTGGGGGTAGAATCACACAAAATAATTCCAATATGGAATTGAAAATTATTTCATATTATAATTTCAAGTTAAAAGAAATTCCCAACCCATTTTTTATACCCCATAGCTCAGGATGTCTTTAATATATCTGAATATTTTCTCATTGGAGAATCCTTGCAGAGAACAGATGTTATTAGTTTATTGTCTAAAAGATGAACTTTCACTTTGTGACTGAATTGTATGTTTGGTAGCTACATACATATATATATATATCATTTGATGCTTTACTTCACCCATTAAGATTGTAGAGATGAGGCATGTTTTGAATTTTCAATCACCAGTTTAATTAATAAAACATAATTATGCCCCCGCCATTTATGGCCGGGGGCATATAGCGTTGCCCATGTCCGTCCATCCCGTCCCGTCCCGTCCCAAATCAGTATATACCACCTAACAACTTCCTTCGGACCTTTCACTATTATTTCACATGGGGGGACGGGGGCATTCATGTCTTACAGACATTTTCTATTTATTTTTTTAAATGTTATTTTGGTTTTCATATCATATTTACTAGTTTTTTTTTTCTTTCTGGAAAATCTATACCTTAAAATCATCTTGTATTTTTATCAATTTATATATTTTAATAGACTTTAATTATGTTGGTTTGTGAAATTCCCAGGAAAAATTGCAGTAGCAAAGTGGCTTGTTCACCGAGACAAAGTGTGTGTCTTTGCCCGTAATTTCAACACCTATGATACAGCATTGCATTTGGCAGTAATTAGTCTACAGAAATCCTGTCAAAAAGAAGCTAGTAAAGTGTTTGGCCAGTTTGTGACCATTCTGGCAGGTGCTTTGGCTTGTCGTAACACTGATGGAGACACTCCTCTCCATCTCATCTGTCGCAGTCTTGTCTGCGAAAAACCAAAGGCAGAATATTACTCTGAATGTGCTTCCCATATTCTGAAGTTTGCAGCTTCAAGAGGTGGAGGTATGTTTTCAAATATTTATCTTATCTGATTATGAATGGTATTTTGAAATAGATATCAAATTCTTAAAAAAGTCACTGTAGACTGAAGAAAACATAGCTTGAAAGAAAACAATCTTAATGTGTCTGTGCGTAAGTATTCAAATATTTTATTTATAATGTTTATATACATGAGTGCATTATTACTCACTGTTATTGCTGTAGCGTTTCCTGCCACCCTTTGCAATTCACAAAACAATGAGGGGGACACACCAGTTCACATCCTGGCCCAGAAAGATCACACCTTGAGCATCATAAAAATTGTGATGGAGCTTGGTAAAGTGGACCTCAATATCAAGAATAGTAAGGTAAGGATGAATCCTGGGATACAGAAGCAAATGTTTATAAGCAAGTTTTCCATTAGTTTACCAAATGAATTTTTCAAAAGGACATCACATGTACTTGTTACCATTGCAATGGCAGTTTTTCCAGCCTCCGACATCTGGTGTCCATCAACTTAATTTCTCTGAAAGTCATTGCTATTTATGGATGACTGAGTGTATTTTGACCAAATTTGATAGAGCATCCTTGAGGCAAAGAGTGAAGGAATACCAATTAGGGCCAAATCGGGACATTTGTTCAATTTCTATAAATCATTCTTCTTTAGTAGGAATAACAGATTTAAGTGAAAAATCTGGTTTGAAGCATCCGTTTGTATAAATGATGGGCCTGACACCATTTTGGCAGAGAGCTTGGAGCTGAATAGGAGAAATAGTTGAAAAGCTTTCAATTTAGATACTCTTTTCTGGGATGATGGTATTTTAACCAAATTTGATCTGAAACATCCTATAGGAAAGTAGAAGTAGTTTTGTGTAATTGGTGGGTCAATTGTCAATGTAATTATGAAATATCTATCCAGGTATATTTTATGGTCCTAAGGAAATATGTTTATAAGTTATAAACTTGGTCAGCATGAGGATGGGAGCATAATCATACTGCAAATTAGCTTTTAGATAAAAGGGATTTGTATCTAGTCTTGACATAGGAAAGCAAGATTCCAGACTTATTCAATGTTTGGGTTTTGTTTTTGTAGAAACAGAATGCTCTTCAAGTTGCAATCGCCCACGGCCAAATGAAGACATCAGCATATCTACATAACTTAATGGAAAACGCCCCCAAAAAGCGAAACGGCTTAATTGTGTTTGCTTCACGCAATCAACAACTACTGGAGAACAGGAATGTTTCACGTAATCAACAACTACTGGAGAACAGGAAAAGGAAGAAAAAGGACAACTCTCCAGCGTCAAGTTGTAAAGTGACAAGTACAGAAGACAATACAGGAAAGCCTGAAAAAAAGACTGACCAGTGTATTAACGATGCCTCAGTCTCGGAGACAAGTGAAAATGAGGACGGGGCTGACAATGATAGCTCTCCAGCAGCTGAATTCGAGGACGGAACTGACAATGATAGCTCTCCAGCAGCTAAAGTCACATCAAACTCTCCTTCGTCAACTTCCAAAGATAGTAATCCTATAAGATCAGAGAACAACTTCAGTTTCATTGACAAATTAGTTTCATTCTTGCCAGACAAAAACCAAACAACCAAACTGCCAGGGGAGAATATACCTGATGTCTGTGCATCTTCACCTTCTGTCTCCTGGCCATCATCTTACCCTACCATGAGAACCTTTCTCGCAACTTCTTCTTCATCTTTATCTAATACTTCTGTGTCTTCCTCCATTCGTTCTTCTCCCTCACCTGCCTCCTCTAAACTGCCGCCCCACTCATCTGCCTCTTCTCAACCATCATCTCCAGCAGTTTTCTCTTCCGAACCGCCATTAAATTCAAATCCATCAACACCCTCTGCTTCAAACACTGTCGCAGAGAAATCTTTTGGCCCTTCATCAGCAAAAAGGAAGAAAGTGAAAGTGCTTGTTGTAAAAAAAGGTACATTTCCAACTAGTGCCATGGTGTTTACAGACCAGGTGCAGCTAAGTTCCAGAAATCCTCAAGTGACGAGTATTAATCATCAAACAAGAAGCAATAAACCTACCCAAAATAATACTGGGGACACCTTGGATTCCGAGCAGCTTGACGGTATCAAGGTAGTACTCACAATAATTTTTCATGGAAATAAAATGATTTGATAAGGCCATTAGGTCAAAGTTAACTCGGCTATCTGCCATCTTCGTGTTCATATACGTTAATGTGTTCTGGTATAAAATCTTACCCGCTTTTTTTAGGTTACCTGAGACTATGTCTCATGGTGACCTATTCTAATACCCTTAACTTTTTCGACTTCTTCTCAAAAACCTTGATCTAATTTCAGTGAAATTTTACAGAAACCTTCCCTGGCCTAAGATGAAGCAAAATTGATTGTGAATTATACAGTATCCACCCAACAGGGCCTGTTATGTATAGAAAAAATATAGTTCTGTAAAATTGTAATTTGGTGTTGACCTTCTCAAGTGTCAAGATATCTATTCTATAGGTAGTACAAATGTAACAGGAAGTGTTTTCTGTTAAGGTCTTGGGATGAGAATCAACAAAAGATACACTGTTGTGTGTACGTTAAAATCAATTCACTCACATGGTGAGACTTTGATATGGTTATCACTCAAAGTTGAAGGGTCAAAGTTCACAATTGCTCTTTAAGATTGGAATATATCTATGTGAATCATTATATACTTGTCCATCTGTCCTGTTCTACCATATTACATCCTGTTGGGCCCCATTCTGTATCAGTATTGCATCTTGAGAATCTGTGGACTGAGTTTGTTCATATTTTCCCTCATAGGATTGTAACATCAATATCTACACCTGATCAGATTCTGGTTTGCATAGGATCGAGTCTATCCATGACGTATGGCGATTTTCTAGTTACACTTGTATTATATTAAACTGTTTGAAATAAATCATAAGGAATTCATTTTTTTCACAGATTGAAAAGGACAGTGCGGAGGATGACTCGGTGAGAATGTGCCCGGATAGTAACACTGACAGGTCTGTTTCCCAATTCTAACTGTTATTTTTATATCTTATTCTTCACAAATTACAAAATTGGCAGAAGATAAACTGTGCTAAAAATTTACATTTTTTACAAAATTTTAATTTTGCAAAGTTCGGCTATTTAATCTTGGTTAAAGATCTGAGTTGTGTAGGTTGATTTCTACTTGCGACTGTTTGTGTGATAATCAGGATGTTCAGATCACAGCCATTCTTTGCTGTTGCGTATGTGTCCTTGGATGAGACACTTTCTCTCCACATTTTGTATTACTGGTATGTGATTGACCTCCTGTTGTTTAGAAAAGATGCCAACTGCTACTATAAGGAGACGATGCCTCTAAATGGCCTGACTGGCGATGACCAATAAACCCATCAATTAAGCTAACCAGTTGTTATCCTCAAGGTCATGGTCATATAGCCAGGGTCATGTATATCTCTTTATATGCAGGACAATAATGGTTAGATTTATGAATGTGAGTTATCAGGGCTCTTGATCTGCCAGATTTGGGGCCGAATTCCCAATGCAAAATAGTATCTTTTTTTCCCAATTCAGACCCCAAGTTTTCCCAATTCTAAGGAAAACACCATTATTTTTCCCAATTGTAAGGGCCCTGGGCCCCAGTCCCAAAATGGGGTGAAAGAGCCCTGGTTATTTTTGCCAACTTCAGTTGGTACCGCTTACTTTTTTTGTGCGAGTCCTAAATGATCTGATATTCATACATATACATGTACTATTCTCTATTTGCATTACAAGTCAAAGGCATTAGATGTAAAATTCTGCCTATTCATTATCCATTACCACTTAAAAAATCACTTTGCTAGTTCCAACAGGCAATGTCTTATTCATTCCTTTTGTCAATCATTAGATGATTATCGACAACTTCTGTAGCTCTAGCTTACTCAGAACAAATTATTTTATACATACATATGTGATGAGAATATTTTCTTCTGTAGCAATTCAGAGTTGATGATTAGCAGTGTGACATCCCTCTCTGGTCAAGAAACTCCAGACAGGAACGGCTCAGGTAAAACAATATCTTAAAACAGTTCTGTAAGCCAAGAAATCATGTTACATTAAAGATTGTGAAATTTTTGAGATGTCCAATTTTCCACCTTTTTTTTTCGCTCACCTAAGTGAAGGATTGGTAAGCTTATGTCATGGTGCAGCATCCGTCTGGTGTCTGTCAACTTTTTGCTAAAACTCTCAACAGGTCATGAACCTCTAAACAGACACTGACCAAATTTGGTCAGAAGCATTCTTTATGAAAGGGAAACCAAGTTATTATAAACATTGGTTCTCAGTCCCCAGAGTCTGAGGGGCAGGGTCCAAAAGTTTTTTACAATTTCTTTGCCTAAATTTGGTCTGAAGCGTTTTTGAGTGAAAGGAAATCAATCTTATACAGACGTCAGGTCTTGGCCCCCTGAGGCAGGAGGACCAGTGCCCATTAAGGGAAATAGAGCAAATTCTTTAAAATCCTACTCCTGTATGAATGAATGGATATTGTCCAAATTTGGTCTGAGGTATTCTTGGATAGAGGGAAATCAAAATGTAGGAGTAAGGGATGAGCCCAGTTGTGAAAATGCAAGTTCTTAAAAATCCTTCTTTACAAGGATATTGTCCAAGTTTGGTCTGAAGCAGTTTTTATGAGTTGTGAAATTGACTTCTGTTTGACCATAAGGCCATTACCAAATAGGGAAACTAGATCAGAAAGTGTTCATATTTGAAATTCTTTTAAATGACTGAATGGCTGAATTACCCAGGCGAGTGATGCAGGCCCCTTGGGTCATATGTTTTTTTTTGGGGGGGGGGGTAGAACGAATTATGTCTTGAAAGTAATAGTTGAGAGTAAATAAAAGTCTTATTCATGACTTCCATGAAAAATACATCCTATTTGCACCAGGCTTTTGATAAAATAAAAAAAGGTAACATTGAAATTTTTCACCTTACACAGTAACATGCTTAAATGAGAGGATAAGATAGTGATATCCGACTCATATCAGGAAATATAACAACCAGGTGAGGTGGTGTGTCACTGTGACCTACATTTTGACCTTTGACTTACATCTTGGGAACAAGTTTGTCAAGGCCTGTTTTCTCATACTGCTAGGAATGGGCGATACCATTGATTCAAATTATTGCTACTGCTTTCTAAAATTAGCGATATAACTGAATTCATTCATGGTTTACACCACCAAATGCAATTAAATGATGAAATGCTGTGCAATACATGCTGTCACTGGGTGTGATAGTATGATAGTAATACTGTGTATACTTGTATACATCCAGCACTGTAACACTGCTCCTTATTGGTCAAACATTCAATGTTAAGCATAATTTCACATCTGTTAGTCGACTGCAATTTGCAGAATTTTGTGTGTGTATAATCAAAAGGTTTGTTAACCTAATTCTGTACATGTAAGATGCATTTTTATCAAAGCATGAAACTGATATAAGATAATAATACAGATGAAATACCTACGGCCATGTAAGGTATTTGTGTTACTCTTTCATAGTTAATCCTTATAATTTATAGCTGGTAATTACACCGACCAAAATTTACAATTTTCTTTTAAAGCATTTTAGGAATAATTTAATGTAATGAAATTTCTTAATTTGGATGTAAAAAGGACTTCTTATACACACTGTCTCCCTATATTACATGAATGAATTTTGTTATCACATTAATGTACAGCAAAATATTGAAAATATCACCCTGCGAAGATGCATGTAACTGACTCTATAGAATCAAGGTAAACATTTGGTATATCAGGTTGAGAGATGCATTTAGGTGCAGTAGATATGGCAGCTTTTGATTAAATATTTCATAAAATTTTCTCCTGATTGTGACTGGATTCCATTGACTTGGTTAAATTTATATATAATGACTTATATAGGGGTTCATGTATCCTGTAAGAGTGGTTAGTTTTTTGTTTTAGTAAAATAAAGTATTCAGTATTTATCAAGAATGCTGAAAGTATGTTGTTGGTGTCTTTGAAGGGGGTCTTGGGAAAGCATTGATGGAGTACCTCAATATCTGTGGTAATGATCATCGTGCAGGCATTCTTGATGTTCTCAACAAAGACCGCAGTAGCTACCAAAAACAGAAGGAAGAACTCAACAATCAAATCAAAGGTCAGTAGACTGTCTCGAGATTGGGTTTTGACTATCAACTGGTCAAAGACGTATAAGGTTTATTTAAGACATACCGTCAGTATTTCTTCATTTATCCGTCTGTCAGCAGAAACAATATCTTACTACCTGTAACCCGTCCTAGTTGGATGGTGATACAGAGACAGGACCTTCACTAGTGAGTAGAAGTAAAGTTCTGTTTGAGATTCAAAATGGTTGCTGTGGCATCCATCTTGAAAATCTTGTATGTGGTCCCCTGATGTTCCTTGCTGGGGTTTTGATATGTGCTGCATTCAAGATGGCCACTTTGGCTGTCCTGCTGGAAATTATGTTATGCTACATAAGGTTTTATCATCTTATGAAATTTATGTATACTAAGTAGTTCAAAGATGGTCCTAACAGTAGATACATCTGAAATACATTATCTCCTGATAAAAACTACATCCTGACAGGACTTTTGTTTCCAATTGTTAGTTGTGTATGGTCCATAATTAAACTTTGAACACACTTAAAGTACTTGATGTTATTTGGTTTTCTAAACAGAAGTCATCCAGAGAGACAGGGCCTCCATTAATTATTTCCTCAACCCTCCAACTTAGTAATAAACGGAGGGGTGGTCGTCGTCTAGCCATTGCTTCTTTGGTGCACATGTACATGAGAGAGGTCTTTTGTTACTGAGTTATGTATGGTGCACAGTTCATCCTTTGTAAAATTTGGTCTTGTGCCACCTTCAAGATGGCCTCTTTCGTACATTACAAAATTCCAGTTATTCTAGCTCAATAGTTAATATATTAAACTCATATGATGAATCTTTGTCATCGTGTAATGTCTGCTTTGAATGAGAAAAAAACCCAACTTTTGGAATTAATGTATTTTTTATCTGAAAAATGTAATTGATAAGTTGGAAATGTTGACTTGTATAAATAAATAAAACATCATTACATGATTTTGGTGCCAGGTGTTGAAAAGGAGATCCAGGAGGCTGAATCAGAAATGGAAGAGAAGAACAATCGTCTTAAGGACATCCTTCTGGAAGTGGAACAGCTACAATATCGTGTGTTCAGTTTAGCCAAACAGTCAATGTGTAACAAACAGACTGTGAAGACACTGCAAGCAAGTGTTGGTGAGGTCAATCTCAAACTAACCTCTTGTGAGAAGGCCATAGTAGACATGTCCTGCACATAGTGGTCTGTTTCTTTATATTGTGTTGTAAATACAACATCAGACATCATGGAATCATAATTTATTGTACACATTGATGTAAATGTATGTTGTAAATACAACATCAGACATCATGGAATCATAATTTATTGTACACAGTGTTGTAAATGTATGTTGTAAATACAACATCAGATATCATGGAATCATGATACAGTGTACACTGTTGTAAATGTATGTTGTAAATATAACATCAGATATCATGGAATCATGATACAGTGTACACATTGATGTAAATGTATGTTGTAAATACAACATCAGATATCATGGAATTATGATACAGTGTACACTGTTGTAAATGTATGTTGTAAATATAACATCAGATATCATGGAATCATGATACAGTGTACACATTGATGTAAATGTATGTTGTAAATACAACATCAGATATCATGGAATCATGATACAGTGTACACTGTTGTAAATGTATGTTGTAAATATAACATCAGATATCATGGAATCATGATACAGTGTACACATTGATGTAAATGTATGTTGTAAATACAACATCAGATATCATGGAATTATGATACAGTGTACACTGTTGTAAATGTATGTTGTAAATACATCAGATATCATGGAATTATGATACAGTGTACACTGTTGTAAATGTATGTTGTAACTGCAGCACCACATATCATGAAATTAAATTTAATTGTACACAGCATTGTGTTGTGAATACAGCACCATATATCTGGAAGTCATAATTTAGTGTACACAGTGTTATAAATGTTTGTCGTAAATACAACATCCTGTCTTGTCGAGATAGAGTCACAAGTAATTAACTCAGTGATGTTATCTTGTGTCATAATGGTAGAAATCATTGACACGTCATCATCATCTTATTGACATAGTGTATTACGTCACAATCATGACATCATATCATGGACTCAGCTTTCAACTTGGTTTCTGGGACAAATTTATGTATGCTGGGTGAAGGTTTCTTTTTCATATATTTGGATGATAGACGAAGCGTAAGATCCTTATGCTATTTTATTGAGTTGTAGACGGCTAAGGAAAAGTTCTTATATTGATCTGTCAATAGCTCGTGACAACCCTGTTTAGTCATTTTCAATATAAACTTTTACATTTTGGATCGTTTTTTCTATTTTTGACTACAGGAGAGACTGTTATTTATTCAGACCTTGATCAAGAATCTGAGATGTTTGTGACCAATTGTAGGTAAATTCTCTCAAACATTTTAAGCTAGTACACAGTGGAAAGGTTTTACTTTTACGGGTATCATACTGTCTTTGATGAAATGAAATAATTCATGACTTGATAATCTCATTAATATAGAAAAGTTTTGTCCCAATCAGATAGTGTTGTTTATCATTGTTCCCAGATATTGCTAGTTTTCACATATAAATGTGAATGAGTTCAATTATCATTAATATGAAACTTGCATTTATTTAGTTCAGTGTAATCATGATTTTGGTATACCACTGGGTCAGTGTAATCATGCTTTTGGTATACCACTGGGTCAGTGTAATCATGATTTTGGTATACCACTGGGTCAGTGTAATCATGATTTTGGTATACCACTGGGTCAGTGTAATCATGATATTGGACCACCACTGGGTTAGTGTAATCGTGATTTTGGTACACCACTGAGTCAGTGTAATCGTGATTTTGGTATACCACTGGGTCAGTGTAATCATGATTTTGGACCACCACTGGGTCAGTGTAATCATGATTTTGGTATACCACTGGGTCAGTGTAATCATGATTTTGGTACACCACTTGGTCAGTGTAATCATGATTTTGGTACACCACTGGGTCAGTGTAATCGTGATTTTGGTACACCACTGGGTCAGTGTAATCGTGATTTTGGTACACCACTGGGTCAGTGTAATCGTGATTTTGGTACACCACTGGGTCAGTGTAATCGTGAGTGTAATCGTGATTTTGGTACACCACTGGGTCAGTGTAATCGTGATTTTGGTATACCACTGGGTTAGTGTAATCGTGATTTTGGCATATCACTGGGTCAGTGTAATCGTGATTTTGGTACACCACTGGGTCAGTGTAATCGTGATTTTGGTACACCACTGGGTCAGTGTATGGGTCAGTGTAATCGTGATTTTGGTATACCACTGGGCCAGTGTAATCGTGATTTTGGTACACCACTAGGTCAGTGTAATCATGATTTTGGTACACCACTGGGTCAGTGTAATCATGATTTTGGTGTACCACTGGGTCTGTGTAATCTTCAATTTGGTATACCACTGGGTCAGTGTAATCATGCTTTTGGTATATCACTGGGTTAGTGTAATCTTCACTTTGGTATACCACTGGGTCAGTGTAATCTTCAATTTAGTATACCACTGGGTCCGTGATCTTCAATTTGGTATGCCACTGGGTCAGTGTAATCTTCATTTTTGTATACCACTAGTCAGAGTAATCTTGATTTTGTTATGCCACTCAGCATAAACTAAATACATGTATAGGCTTGTGAATACAAATTATTGAAATTAATTGCTATAAAACTCCATTACACATTGACATCAAATACGGTAATCCAATTGAATAATACATATGATACATCTGTAATGAATTGTTTATTGTTTGATTAAATTAGAAAATAAAAGACAAAGATAAATGGTCAAGATCTGGATATGTTTGGATTGTCACTTAGAGACAATATATTGTGTAGTATTCTGAAGTTCTATCAACTCTCTTATTTAGGTCTGGGGCCAATGAACCTGTAAACTGTGGCCATATAAAAAATCAGGGAAATAAGCAACCAGTGCTTGGGTTGCCATTTAAACAGTAACTGCGAAAAAAATCGAAATTTCACATACATTTCACATATAAAATGCTATTTATTTTTAACAGTTTCATGTAAATACACATTGATATGAATTTGATAAAGAGCAAACAAAATTAGGCACCTTACTTTTATTGTGAATACTTCATGAGATAATACTGTTCACAAGTCTATTTTTGTACTTTATCTAGCTAAGCCAGAATGCCAACTTTACCAAAAATCTCCATAGTTGCCAGTATTGTGCACATGACTTGTACATATTTTCAGTCTGTTCTCCTACATGTCACTTCTGCTTTTTACAAGGTGCTATATTAGATAAAATGAAAGGGTTGGAAGCCCACATGTACCTTTGTTCCAAGAATGTCACCACTTTGTATCATGATTGTATTCTCACTGTATGCAGTGATAACAGGTTATACAAGGAGTATGGTAAATTATGTCACATGAATATTCATTAGGGACTCTGTGTGAGGAGTGACATGTTGGGTCCTCTATCACAGAAAGGTGAGGAGAAAAACTGATAGAATACTCCGCATGTTTTATGTTCTACTAGCAGCTTTGTGGGATACAAATTTCCAAATATAACATTTTATCTAGGTCTGGTTATGGTGCTAAACTTATCCTCGTGAGGGGATTCCTTAATCTTCATTACACAGAAGTGATTCCATTTGTCATTTAGAAATCTGATTATAAAAAGATGGTGGATTTTCACTAGATGTGTAAAATATTAAAAAAAATTATGTAATATTGCAATGGTTATAGATAATTTCATATAAAATTAGTTTTTTTTCTAGTTCTAAATATGTCTCCCTTCCAGTAGTACACTTCAATGTTTTTATTGAATGGATTTGTTTTACTGTTTGTTGATCCTGAATGTTTTATGCTACATTCATGCACTAAGACTGTTTTATGTAAATCTCTACAAATGGCCAAGGTGGAAAACTTGTAGACAATTCCTGATATTTTGTAGAAATACTGTTATGAACATAAAAATTACATGTATCTCCATTGGAAAGAAATTCCTATTCCTATAACATATATATATTACAAATGTGTTAAATTTTTTTTTTTATATTATTTTTTTTTTTTACTGTATTGCTTTGGCATGAAGCACTTGTCTCGTAATAAGCCCACTAACAGTTATCAAAGTTTTGGTAGAAAATTCCAGCAAAAGCTTTAGTATCTACCTGTAAAAAGCCCACCTATAGTTATCAAAGTTTTGGTAGAAAATTTCCAGCAAAAGCTTTAGTATCTACCTGTAAAAAGCCCACCGACAGTTATCGAAGTTTTGGTAGAAAATTTCCAGCAAAAGCTTTAGTATCTACCTGTAAAAAGCCCATCAACTTTTCTTTCTGAGTGGGTGCCTATGTTAGTTCATTGGTGTTATTTAAAGTAAAGTATTTTATAGAAAATATTTCTGTTTTACCCTGAAACATTACTTAAGCACCTGTTTTAAGAACAAATTTTAGTAATTTGTTATTCTGTCACAAAGAAATCATTGTTAATATTAATAAGCCTTGATCTGGCTGAAAGTTTAATGTCTGACAATAACAAGTGATTGTTAAAGTCAGATTTTGATTAATTGCAATGGTTAATATTCTGAACAGCCCACATGTTGAACACATTCTTTTTCAATATTTGATTCTGTTTTTTTTTTCAACTTTCTGTGTCATTTAGTTTTATTTGAAATATTTTTATAATGTGTTAAATAAAAAAATAAGAAAAGAAATGTAAATTTTGTTTGAAATTTCTTTCTAAGGTACTGGTGAAGATCGTGACAAGTACATGTTTGATAACCATTACATTAGTTGTCAGCTGGCCAATACAATGATAATGATTGGACTAAATGGTTACCAAGGTGACAAGAATCAATCATAGGCAAAAAATATTGACAGCTACTGTCTCTTAATCAGCATCTGTTTATAAGCCAATGTTGTTAAGCCCATGTCTGTTGATAAGCCCATGTCTGTTAATAAAGCATCTGTTTATAAGCGTCTGTTTATAAGCCAATGTCTGTTGATAAGCCCATGTCTGTTGATAAGCCCATGTCTGTTAATAAGCCAGCATCTGTTTATAAGCCAATGTCTGTTGATAAGCCCATGTCTGTTGATAAGCCCATGTCTGATAAGCCAGCATCTGTTTATAAGCCAATGTCTGTTGATAAGCCCATGTCTGTTAATTAGCTAGTGTATGTTAA